TATGCTATATTTAGCATTTGGGATGTCACAAGAATAATGGGTATTGGGTTGATTTTAATAAAGGGAAATTTTTATCAACAATAAACAAACTTGCTCTTTTCTTTCAATAGAAGTTACAGAGCTACTTGAGGTATGCTTTACAATAGCTTTCTTTAATAAAATGGAGTCTTTTGAGTGTTATTTGATACTCTCTAATTGCATAAATTGTTTGCTTCTGGTTTATACCTTCCATCCTTTAAATTTTATCCACGTCTTCTTCAAAGATCTTATTTGAGTTTATGAATGTTATCTCAAACATTTTGAATAACATACATGCAACTTCTTATGTAAGTTATTAAAGTTATTAAAAATTATGTGTTAGTAGTTTTTAGAGACCCGGTTGCATCAAAACAAAAATAAATAGGTAAGTACAAAATTTGCAAGGGAGTAGAGTGTCGAAGATGAAACCAATTGCAGGGAAACAAAAATCAAGGAGAAGAGTGTGGAAGATGAAACTGACTGTCGGGAAACAAAACCTGTAGGGGTTTATAAGCATTAGCAGTGCATTCTCCTGTCAGAAAATATTTGGGTGACACGGCAGCATCCCCAGAGATCTGGATGAATGCATGTCACAATCATAGATAAGGTTTTAAAGCCCTTAAACCCTAGGTGTCAAGCCATCTCCGAACCGCTTTACCAATTCCTTCTTATTTAGTGAATCGAACTGACTTTTCCTCTTTTTTTCTCCATTTAGTGAACCCGATAGGAAGCATCTCCTCTAAATGTCGGCTTTTCGCACCTCTCCAACCTCTATGGTGATAATTGGTGATTTGAAGGGAATATTCATGCACTATTTTTATGTATTTAAATGTTTTATTTTAAACTTAAAGGAATCAAGTAATTGTTCAAGATAATGTCATACATTTAGTCCCATTCTCCTTCTCTCTCGGTTTCTCTCCTGGTTTTCTTCTTCCTTCTCTTGGCAGTCTATTTCTCTCTTTCGATCTCTCTTTCTATTACTCTTCTCCCTCTTGGTCTTTGTCTTTCCCTATTACTATTTCTTTCTCTCTTACTATTTCTCTCTTATGTTCTCTCTCACTTTATTCTAATTTATTTTTCTCTCTGCCTCACGGTTTCCATGAGGTACATGTTAAGAACGACATCTAACAACTTTGTATCAAAGTCGACTGAATCCAAGCAAATTCTTATAAGCTTTATTGCTATGGCAAAGAATAAAGAAAAAACCACAATGCTGAACTTTAAAAAATGTAAATTTTAGAATAAAATGTTCGTAAGGTCGATCAAAGGCTCTCAGATTTTATGTTCAAGATGTATGAATCTCAATAGCAAAACAACTTAGGATAGACCTAAAAATGGCTCTCTTTAACCAGCAAATAGAAAGGCTGACAAATCTCCTACATGGTCATGTGCGACTAGGTGAAACAGCTGCAAAGATGAGCCCCTCTTCTATATTAAATATTGATAGAAGATTTTTAGTCTTTGATACCAAAACTTAACTACTTAAATAACCCCCCTAATTGAGAATACACTCGCCTAAATGAAATCTATAAATAAATAAAAGAAAAATAAAAATGAAGAAGAGAAAGACGTCACAGACTTACCCAATAATCAATCCTAATTTCTTGGCTCAACAAGACTTCAGAAAGCTCCTTAATTTTTAAAGAATTTAAAGAAACTAAATAAATTAGCCAACGCTAACTCTTGAAAGCAAAAACTTCAAATTTATTATTCTTAATGGTGTGTATACAACCTATAGTAAAAGATCTTTATGTAGATTTTTTTCAGAATAATTATAAACAAATACAAAAATTGAAAAGATAAGTTCTATCATGAAATAAATAATAAAATAATGATATATCTCAATTCTAATACAAAAAAATTAATTAATTAATCCTAAGAACTAAAAAATTTGTTGGAAATTACACCATGTGCTATGGATAA